ATCAAACATAATTTTATAAAACATGTTTGTTGAAACAGTTTAAATAAAATGCAAGCTAAATAAAGAAGTGTTGACAAGATACAAAACAAGACAATTTCACTTACAAGGGTGACAAGGTAATTTATAGGAATATAGCTTATTGTAACTGTATAAATATATTGTGCGTTTCTACTCCCTGTGGGCTATGATTCTTTTGGAAATCAAATATCTATTATATTTTGCAATTAATAATATTAACGTTTAGCCTAAGACATGTGTAGTTTAGTTATAGGTTGGTATTTTGCAATTATGTACCGTACATGCCCCTTAAGTAGAGTATATTTATTAACTGTTTACAATATTTGTGGTATAATGTAGCCATGAATGCATGACCACATGACCCCACAAGATGAACTCCAATGGCTTCTAAATAAGACAATGGTGAAAAGTTCACGAATATTGAGCTTTATATATGATTCGGATTAAATACAATAATTATTAACCTAGCTTTATATAAAATGTACATACATGTTCTAATAATTGTATTTTGTTTCATACAATGCATATGTGTCAATGTGTGTGAAAACATTACATTATTCAGCTCACTCCCCTTTGGGGCTTTTCAGTCACCGCTTACATAAAGTATTAGGGTTACTTATGTTAGTCTAGACTATATATCTTTATAACAATGAGAATATGATATCACTTTTCTAACTGTTTTTATTCTAACCCACCCTGCCATATTTTGTCTTGTGGGAGAAAACCGGAGAAAAATATAAAATTCAATTACCTTGAAAAAACAGGTCTAAATTGCAATCCCTAAAATTTAGAATTTTCTCTTAAATCGCATTAAATCGCCTAAAATTGCTTTAAATCGCAGTGCTTCAAAGTCCCAGTTTTTCCTTAAATCGCCTAAAATCGCCCAAAATCGCATTATATCGCAGCGATTTAAGGCGATTTACCGCCCCAGAGTAGGCCTAACAAGATGTGTTTGAAACATGTTTGTAGCAAGCTTGTCAACAAGTTGCGACAATTCCGTTCTATCAACTTGTCTACAAGACTTTCCGCAACAGGCTTGTAGCTACCTTCTTAACAAAGTTGTAACAATGGTAGTATTTCATCAACTTGCTACAAGGTTGTCGCTCACAACTTGTTAAGAAATTGATGAATTGCAGAAGGAGAACAAGTTGTGGGAACAGCTTGTAACAAGTCTGTTGAGCTCAACAACCCTGTAGCAAGTTGTCATTTCAACAATTTCTTAACAAGTTGTGAGTGACAATCTTGTAGCAAGTTGATGAAATAACAGCATTGTTACAACTTGTTGACAAGCTTTCTTCAAACATGTTGCGAACGCATCTTGTTGACAAGATGTAAGATTTTTACGTGGGTACACACGCAAAAATCTCACGTCTTGTAGCAAGTCTGCCAACAAGCCGTCCACAAGTTGTGTTCGCACTGCTTGTCCCAAATTTTCAACAAGTTTGTAATAAGTTGTTCACAACTTGTAACAACCTTGTTGATATTATCAGACTTGTTGCAAGATTGTTTCAACAAGTCCGATACAATCATGATATAACAATATTGTTGCAACCTTGTGTCGTCAACATTGATCATGACTGTATCAGACTTGTTAGAACAACCTTGCAACAACTCTGATAATATCAACAAAGTTGTTAACAGCTTTTTCTAAACTTGTTGACAACTTGGGACAAGCAGAGCTAACACAACTTGTTGACGTATTGCTGACAAACGTGCTCCAAGATGTGAGATTTTTGCGTGTGTACAAGGTTGACGACAAAAGGTTGTAACAATATTGTTATATCATGACTGTATCGGTCTCATGTAAAAAGGGCCTAACAGAACTAAGAACTTCACTGACTTACCCGGACAAGTCCAGCTTCTGGCATGAAAGATCTGAACATCGCCTCAAAATAACTGAAAGGAAAATGCGTGATAGACAATTTGTTTACTAGACATTTGTGAAAATGAAATAGGGCCAATAACGATCCTTGATCATCCTTGAGGCAAGCTAAAAAACAATCACTTATTACAGTCCAGCCCCCATTCCTCGGCAATCGACGCCATCTTGGTTGATTTTCAAAAACATACGTCGCAACTAAAAATCTGTATTCTTCATTCTTTGTCGTATTGTGCCAGAAATCGTAAACTATCCATAGTACAGTAAGATGTTTTCAAAACAAACCAAAAATATTAATGTAACTCAACTATTTCGATGTAAAAGACCGCATAAAACTTTAAAATCAACCAAGATGGCGCCTATATAACACGTATAGTAACGTCATGTGCAAACAAAGAATTAAGAGGATAACTTTTCTTTGCCAAGACAACAGAAGTATTTCTTGTAACACTTACCTACAACGCGCTGTGAGTATTGCCTAAAACAAAATTCGAAAGAAAAACGTGATTACATTAAACTTACTGCCAATACTGCACCTCTAGGGAGAACAGTTTAGAACTGATAAAGATATCAAGAATAAACAAAGTTAGTTTAGGTTTCCTCCAGTAGTAATACTAGATCAATAAGAGATAATCCCTACTGGACCTGTAGTGAGAACAGTAACTGAGTTTAGAACTGATAGAGCTATCCAGTATGAAAAAAGTTAGTTTTAGTTTAGGTTTCCTCCTAGCTATAGTAACACTGGATCACTAAGAGATGTCCCCTACTGGATCTCCAGGAAGAACGTATTAGAACTGATAGAGCTATGTAGTATAATTAAGTGAGTTTAGTTAAGGTTTCCTCCTGTATTAATACTGGATCAATAAGACTGGAATCTTACTGGATGTCTAGGAAGAACGGTTTAGAACTGATAGATCGAGCTATCCAGTATAAATAAAGTTACTAGTTTAGTTTAGGTTTCTTCCTGTAGTAATACTGGTTCAAAATAAGATGATTCTTGCAGGACCTCTAGGAAGAACAGTTTAGAACTGATAGAGCTATCCAGTATAAATAAAGTGAGTTTAGTTTAGGTTTCCTCCTGTAGTAACAATGAATCAATACGAGATGATCCTTATTGGACCTCTATAGGAAGAAGTATATACAAAATGTTGGCTTATTCTAGTTTACTGGTAACACGAGACGGTTTTACCTATCAGTGTGAAATCCTCGGGCAGAAAAAAGGAGAGTCCATTAAAAACCTAACAATTACCTTGTGTGCTCCGATGTGTGTTTCACCGACAACCATAGTAATATCACATAAATTTCCATCACATGAATGATTCCAAAATGTCTTTAAGTCATCTTTCAAAGAAGACACTGGAAAATTGATACAGAGAAGTTTGTTACTGCATGTTGCTTAAGGTAAAGTCTTTTCCATTTCAACAAAACCACAGACACCATATTTTCGCAGTCAGTATAACAGTCTTTTGCATTGCTCTAAGCTTATTTTTTGCACAGTTGTAAACATAACTTTGCACTGTTGCTACAGAATTTTGCACTGATGTTTGGGTTTGTAAATAATCATAGTCGAGTAACATTAGTATGTATATTATTATTTTTACAAAAAGACTCCTTTCCTGTAAACTTATAAATATTTGAATTGCTGCCTACACCTACTGTATATGAGAACCATTTCTTCATGATAAGCTGAATATTTTCGCCGCTTACCAGAATAAACAGTTAAATGCTGCGGTTCAGGAACAGATATCTACAAAAAGATCGAATTGAAAAAATGAAATGGGAATATATAGGTCCCAAAAAATGCAGTTGCTATGTTTCTGATTTTTACACAGCTAATTATCAGTGAGCATCGAAAATTTTTTTGACTTTGTTTTTGAACACATTGCAGCAAGTAGGAAAAGCTAATATATTTGTGAAAACTTTGCTATTATAAATAAAGTAAGCTTAGTTTAGGTTTCCTCCTGCAGTAACACTGGATCAATAAGAGATGATCCTTACTGGACCTCCGGGAAGAACAGAGCTATCCAGTAAATAAAGTTAGTTTAGTTTAGGTTTCTTTCTGTAGTAACAGTGGATCAATAAGAAATGATAAAATAAAGTTAACTTGTTTTAGTTTAGGTTTCCTCCTGTAGTAACACTGAATCAAGAAGAGATGATCCTTGCTGGACCTCTAGGAAGAACAGTTTAGAACTGATAGAACTATCCAGTATAAATAAGTGAGTTTCTGGACCGCTCATTATTTATTATGCAGGGCGGAAAGAAAAGAACGTGGGGGGCCTCTAAATTTTTTAAAACATGAAAGGGAGGACTTTGAAAAAATACAGAGAGACGAAAGAAGGGGGGCTTCGAAAATATTTACCAGTTTGAAAAAAACATTAGTAGTTTTAAAAATGTATCACAAAACAACTTAACGAATAACAAGGTTGATAGACCTTCAATATTTATAAATGGAAGCCAAATAAAAAGTCTCTTATATTCATGCAAATAGACAATCCCCATTGTAGACTAATTTTAGAACTAGGCAAAGAGATGCAAATCAAGGCTGGATTTTGGTGAAAATAGTGGGGGAGGTGGAAAAAATTTTAGGGGAGGTGCAGCGGTCTAGCTCACAACTCCCATGGAAAGTTAGGGCTTATTATAGAACAGGCCAATATCAACCAGGTTAGGTGTGCATGTACTGTAGTGTACATATGTACCAGTGTATTAATGAATTATGAATGTTATGACTCCAATCTTGCCCTTCGCTACAAAGTTTCTTTCAAAACATTGCATTAAAAGGGTACTTGACACAGAGATGAATGGCTATCACTGTTTCAATTTTACAGAGAAAACATTCTTTCGTCACGAGGTGTAGATCCTACGCAACTATCACATTTTCACTTTGTTCCATCACTGAAACTTTCCCAAGGGGAGGTGCATGACCTTTCAGGATAGATGGAAAAATTCTCAGGGGAGGTGCAAAACGATCTCAGGGGAGGTGCGCACCTCTCCACACCTCCCCTCAAAATCCGGCCTTGATGCAAATAAATCACCACAGCTAGAAAGAGCATACTAAAATAAGTAAATTATTGCAAAGTTTGGTTGCGAAATGTTGTAAAAAACGGCCTTGCAAAGTTTGCAAATTTTGTATACTTTTGTATTGCATGCAAAAATTGCTATACAAAAGTATACAAAATTTGCAAACTTTGGAAGGCTATATTTTCTACATATTTTACAACATTTCGCAACCAAACTTTGCAATTTTACTAATTTTAGTATGCCCTTTCCGGAAATATACTTTTTTGCCTAAGATAAAAATTTAGTCTATAATGGGAATTGTCTATTGGTCCCCATTATCTATTTTTGTTTCTCTAAATAAAGAGCTAGAGTTTTTGTTTCTCTAAATAAAGATAAAGAGCTGGAGGGGGGACCAAAATTTATGTTCGTGTTTTGCCTGTTGGGGGGGGGGGGCTTTGAAAATTTTACTTGTCTTAAGAGGGGGGCAACGAAAAAATATTATAACTGTAGAGTTTCTCCTCAGTCTACCCCTGTACAATAAATAATGAGCAGTCCCTTATACTGATAATGCGCGTGTTTTTTATACGCTTTGCTCATCACCGCCACATTTTTTCTACAATACATTTGCCTAAGATGCTTTGTCTAAATATTGTCATTTATTATATTATACTAGATAGTGAGATACTGAAAAATACACCGTTAATAGTTAGAGCGATTTTGACAGTATAATGGTCACAGTAAGAGTGCTGCTTCGGAATTGCAGAGCCGCAGGTTTGATTCCTGTCAGGGACCCAAAGTTGTATTCCCCACAGCTGTTCCTGGTTAGGTCTAATAAACCACTCGACAATTTCCATCATCTACAATACTCTTCAATAGTAAAGATATGCCTCACATGACCATTTCCCGCCAATTGCATGCGAGAAACGTACGAGTACAGCATATGGAAATTACATAATTTTCATTGTGCATATACTAACTTATACCTTATTAAACCTACAGCATGAGAACCGTACATCTAGCGTACCTCTAGCGTATGCCTAGAGTATTTGAAGCGCATACATACAACCTATGCCTAAAGCCGGTTTCCACCAGGCGGAATTTTGCGTGCGAAGCGGAATTTTTGTTTGTCTTTTCCAATTCGTTCCACCCAATAAATCACAAGACAAAGAAAGATTCCGCCTAGTGGAAAACTGGCTTAACGTACCCCAGCGTATACCAGCGCGTATACCATTTTCCATACACTAGCTGCCATACGCTAGTACAATATGCAATAGTGTGACAGGGACATTAACAAGTTGTCACTTTGCAGTAAAAATAGTAAGGTTTGTGAAAGTGTTGAACGAAGACATTATAAATCGTTTAGCGACAAGCAAATTAATGTAAATATAGTACCAAAAGAAAAATGTTTTATGATATGAAGGTAAATAAAATATTTTCATAATTTTTATAACAAGAATCAAACAAATGTTTTAAATCCAGATGTCAGATGAAAACCGCATGCACTCAAAGGTGTGTAACATGGATTGAGTGAGTGAGGCACGAGTTTGTATATCTGATACAACATGGATGCTCATGTTGTAAATGGCTTGTGAAACGTCTTAAAGAGAACAGTCATATTCTTCAACAATTAAAAAAAATAATGATATTTTATAACATGGTGAGAAAATTGAACTTAAGTTTATATATGTAAATCAGCATGATTCTGTATCAGATATATTATACAGTACAAACTTCATTAATTATTGATGAGTTTCACAATAAAATATCCAAGCACAGCATAACATACCTTCATCTTCATCATCAGTTTCATCACTATCTTCATCTTCCAAAATATTTAATTTTCTTTTCCTCGATATCTCAACGTCACTGTCTGAATCATCATTATCATCCATTTCTAACTGCAAGCATAATATATACAAATTATTGATTTTGATTTCACAGTTTATTTCGACATGCATATAAACTCATATAATCATGTTAGAATGTTTAAATGTTAAAAAATATACTTTAACTGTAGGAGGTCCTCTCCCAAAAATATTGATTTTTGAAGCTCAATTAGGCGTAAAAAAATACCTGTGGTTCCGATTCCTGACCGACCCTATTTTTTTCTGCCGACCCTATTATTTTTTCGACACGATTGACTGTGCGACCCTATTTTCTCCAGGTGGTTGCGGGCTGCTCATACAGCGTGCCAAAATGGCGTCTGTTGTCTCACTAATTATTGAATCAAATTGCCTAAATTCGTCCATAGGAAATACGCATCTCTAGTTAATATTGATGTCGGAACTCTACTGCAAATCGCCCAGCAAAAAACTGCCAAAACCATGACAAAAATATTTTTTTAAAAAATGTATTTCCGACCAACCGACCCTAATTTTTTCACGATATGAAACCGGAACCACACATATTTTTTTTATGCCTTACTGCTTTTCTTGCATTTTTGTAACACTCAAAATGAAAAAAAAACTACCAATTTTAAGGGCATATATTCGGAAACTTTGCAGTGAAGTCGTAAAACTGTAAACTTGTATTTTAGAATGAATTTAGAACTTCACATTTTGTGTAGAGTTTCCAGAATGATAATAATAACGAGTTAACGACTCGATTCGATCAAGCACATTTTTTCATGCACAGTCAAGAGTTCAAACCACCAGCTTCAGTTATGCAATGTCTTCACCTATCACACACACACATTGACATTTATGTAAATGCAAACTGTACAACTGTAAACCTCTGACTGGGCAGCCTTCATTCGAATGTCTAACCGTAAAATAATCCCACGCAAATACAAGTTATCGCATTATATTGAAAAATAACGCTTTTTCTCTCTACTCCATGTTAAATGCCAATACGTTTTGAGCAGTTATTACTGAAGGTTGCTTGTATTGTTATGAAAAGTCATATTCATTTTATACATGTATTACTGCTCTGTTGATGGTCGGCACAATCCAGTGTTTCACAAGTGGTCCACGAGAGTGGTCTGTGAGAGTGGTCCACAAGTTCCACGGACCAGGTCCACAAACATATTCCACAGACCTGGGGTTCACGTTTTGTCGTTTCCCCCTTAGTATACCATACACGGTACAACAATAACTCAACAACACACAGGCAGCTGCACCGGTTCAATTCCTGCAAGAGGGCCTTAATAGTTGCAATTTTCACAGCTGCTTCTGGTTAGATCTGTATCTGTGCTAGTGTAGGTAGTGGCAATAATAAGAAAGCTGCAGATTAATAACTACCTGATAATACAAGGAGAACTTCAATGCTTTGAGCGAAGGCCCTTCATCGTGAAGTTAAACCATTGAGTGGCAGCACTATCCCCTTGACAAATAAAATCGTCCAGCATTAAATGGAGTAAAATAATAAAGACGGGTGCATAAGGGTGCATGGATACTGACACATGATTGGCCACTCTCAATTCATAGTTATGATGAATTTTCCAACGATCATTTTGTAGTGAAATAGAATGTTGGCTATTGGTAGTGGCCAATATATCAGCCCCTGAATATTGTTTATTGGAATATCAGTAAATTTCCATATCATTTGGTACATCACTTATCACTACCATATATTGATTAAATAGTTACAGATCAATAGTATGTACCTGTATTATAAACCTGTATATATCATCAAAGTGTACAATTTTGATCAATTTTTGAATATTAATTTACTATTCCCAACAACGAAACCTCTCTTAATTTATGTCTTTGGTCTTCACAAAATTTTCACAATGTTTATCCCAAACAATAGGAATGCCATATTGAATGCCATGCGTACTTCACAGTTCACAGTGGTGCAAATGTTCAAGTTGGTCAACTATAATTAATTTGTAACTTTGTCGCAATGTTACGTTGCGTATTTCATACAAACGGGGGAATATAATTTACCATTTTATAAAATTAAATACCAAGCTTTTGATACGAGGAAAAGAACTACATACCCTGGATTTCTTGCATAGAAAATTATAGCTTGCTTTGATATATTTCCGAGCAGTAAATCAGTAAAAATTTGTATCCATCTTCTTCGAAGAAAATAGGATGACCGCGCATAAAAACAAAGAAATCGTGGCCTGGTTCGAATAGTATATTCTAATTAAGGTGGCTCCGAACCGTTGGGCCAGAACGATTACTGGAATTTGAAGTAAATAATAACTTTATTCATAGACCATAGTCAACAGAATAAGGTTAGGAAACTCGATGCAGACATTATGAACGTCACTGTCTATTTTTTGTCTTTGTTTATGAAAAAAATTGGTCGGTCCAACAACCAATAGCAGTGTGCTGGTTTAATTAGGATAGCCAGCCACTCTCCTCCGCAGAGTCTAAAATGAGAGTCTAAAATTAAAATATATTGTAGTGGTAACATAGGAATAGTGGAAAATTGTAATGATAACGTAGGGATAATAGAGGACATTCAGTGATGCACGACGGGGGGTATTAGGCAGAATTAGACTAAAGGCTGCTCTCCAGTCACGCGAGTTTTCATACGTGCGTATACGCACAGAAAAGTTTAAATTTTTTAAAATTTAACACTAGTATGAATTACCTGTACAAATGCACATTAAATCATTCACAAAACTATATGTTTTCCTTTTATTCATTCAGTTATTTCAAAAACGCATGACTGGAGAGCAGCCTTAAAAATTGGTACGTGCGGCTCTGCGGAGGTGTGTTAGGTGTTACCCAGCCGTGATAATTTACTGAATGGTAACTGGTTAAATGAAAACATAGCTATGAGTTGCTCTGGCGAAAATACAATAGACACGATAACCATTTCTGGCCATGCACAAACCAAAACATGGATAATGAGGTCTACTGATATTTGCATCGAGTTTCCTAACCTTCTTGTAACATTACTATGTCCGAGCAACTTTACTATCTTCTAACATTACTATGTCCGAGCGGACATTTGTCAGAGCCAAGAGAAATTGTTATAATCTACAATGAATTATGACATCTCTAGATGAGCCTGCCACGCAGGCTATGACATCTCAATCATGGGCATCCAGTGTAGCTACTAGCTAATTTTACGTCGGAACTATCCGAAAAGTGTCGTCTTAAAAAAATATCGTTGTTTCGTCCTAATTAGAACATGATCAGATACTACCACTCAGCAACTGTAATCAGAACCAGGGGCGCTGAAGCCACGGAGGCAGCGGGGCGGGGGGGGGGGGCAACTGGTTGCCCCTTTTTGGGACAACAAAAGGATATTAAGGCATTAACTAATAAGTTATTATTGTTGACTTGCTGTCATACTGTATATGTAAGTATATATTATTGACCACGTTCATTTCGTGGTTCACTTACGCATTATAACGCAGGCAACGCCTTGATCGTCTTGTTAGTTATATAAGCCGCTTGTACATTTTTCTAGTTTCTTGACACACCTATAAAATTGCTGTAGTCAATTAGCGCAGTCATGCTCTGGCACTACAATAACGCATTGGCGATCGATAAGTCTTCCTCTGTTCTAGATGGTTTTTAGAGCATTCCAGCTAGGAACATGGCCAGGACTAGCAATGTATCCGTCCACTAATGCTCGACCAGGTCTGCCGTCTCCAAGTTTTCAAGTTAGCCTAAACAGGTTATGTTCTTATGACATGGTGCTTACCAGAAAATTAGGCTAAACAGGTTCTTAAATAGGTTCTTATTTTCATAAGACAATCGCGTCTCATTTTATAGCGAGGTGTAGTATATGATTTATATTTAAATAATATATATGCACAAATGATCAAAATGACAGTATCTGCACTATACCAACCCTATATGCACTTTAAAGCTACACTGATTGTAACTTATGACTTAATTTTGACTCTACTTGATAATATAAGAATCTGTTTTGAAATTCTAGCCTGAACAGGTTCTTATTTCAAGGAGGTCTAAATAAAATATTTTAGCTCTAACAGGTTCTTAAATTCTAGGTTCTTATATGCGGGGTTTTACTGTAATTGCTACGGACAAAATACTAGAGTTTTAACATCAACTCCCAGGTTCACAAGTACCCGTCCAAAAGACGGGTGGATTGGCGCCTGGCTAAGCCCATGTATACTATAGGGGGCTTCGGTGGCCAAGTGGTTAGCGCACTTGCCTTTCACCTCTGAGGCCGCAAGTTCAAACCTCAGTGAGAACTTTCTCAATGCGACTCGAATCCAGTCCTCAAGCGAAAAGAGTAAAAGAGGTAATCGTTCCATGTTTCGCGCATCAATATAGTAATCGTTATGTAATGTATATTATAGTGTACTGAAAAGTTAACTGAATACCTCCATACACGTATATACATACCCTAACCCTATATATCCCTAACCTTAAACCTAACCCTAACGCCTAACCCTAATACCTAACCCCTAACCCTAACCCTAACTTATATTGGTGCATGCGCGAAACATGGAACGATAACCGTAAAAGTCAACGCTCTGCCGATAGTCGTGGGTTTTCTCCGGGTACTACGGTTTCCTCCCACAGGGAAAGTTGACCGCAGGGTGGGTTTGGCACATAGGTCAGGGGCAGATCATTAATAAGGTTAATGCTTAAAGCGCCATTTGTAAGCTCTACCTCGGTCTGCTCTTATAATGTATTAACAAGTCACTGAAGAACCCCACTCCCTTACTTACACTCCTCTGCTGAGTAATATATGTATGTTTCCATCTTCTTGTGATTTTCCATCCAAGATACGCAACCTCATTAAGTTCAGTTTTTAGTTTGTTTTAACTTCTTTGCCTCTACTATAAATAATTAAGAAGCATTGAACCGTGGTCGGTTAGTTGACTTTTTTTCGTTGAAGAAGCAAGGATTACATATTAGAGTTATCGGTTTCTTTATAGTACAGTGTTACAATCGCTTATTATCGGTTTATTATTCCTTGATCTTATTATATATCATGAATTTAGTTTACTCTACATTATTGTGCGAGTATATCTGCATGAACTGTATTTGCGTTAGCTTGCTATTGTAACAATATTTTCGGCTCTTTCTGTTGTGCCTTGCACATGGTTCGTGACCTGCATGTTATAATCTACTTAATTTATTCATAATCTATTAAAAATCCGATCTAGTGTACAATGTATAGAAATATTTGGCTGCAAACTGTGAGACTTCATCAGCTACCAAAATATTCCACCCATATATATATACTTAAAACTTTCACTGTTTTGTGTATTTTACGTGACGTTTATTAATTCTCAAAATTATGTCAAACTCTGCCCAAAACGCATGAAATGGCATTTCAGAGACGCAGATATAAAATTTCCCGGGGGAGGATGCCCCTGGATACCCTACGAGGTTTCGCACCTTAGGCGATCGAGTGCCCTGTTCAAGATTCTGCTCCCGCCGCTTTTCAGTCCTTCCGGCGCCCCTGATCAGAAATCAGTATTTCAGCGGTCTATATCCCATAAACTGTCTCATAGCATGCTTCAAGCAATTACTGTGAGTTTATGTGGGGTAGGTATCTTTCGAGTTAAGCCCTTCGAGTTAAGTATTAGTATTCTCTATATAGAGAATACCGATGAAGCATTCAACAAAAGATATAGAGAATACTAACGAGTTATACAAAACATATAATAAAAATAATTATTTGTGGATGTGATCAAGTCGGATAGGCAATGATCGCTTGTATGCGTTCAGTGATTATGGACTCCCTCGAATTAGTTAGACGGTCCAACTAATATCCCACTGAACACACGCGATCATTATCTATCCTGTACAAAGACCTTCACTCAAAATGTTGAAGTTGACATGACAAACTTTGATTTAATATTATAGTTATAATTGCAGACATAGAATATTTTAATACATGGATCACCATTAATACACCCTAAAGAGATAGTTACTACAATGCTATACTTCTCAAGAAATTTAATTAACCTATATTGGCTAGCCTATAATGAAGATCAAGAGTTCGTAGTCATTTATTTGCAAGTGGACTTGAAATAAGCCAACGTATAGGCAAGGAAAGCTGCTGTGCCAATATATGTACGGACATCGTGGTAGTCGGCGAACTTCTGGAACATGCCTCTGACATAAGCATCGTCTGCAAAGATAAGATAAAATAATAGTTTAGTTAGTGTAGTCTGGGTTTAGCAGGGCTTTCAGAATTATTTTGAGTAGGTGGCTGTGGGGAGTATAATCGGTCTGTGCCAGTGTAGGTGCTGCCAATAATATGAAAACTTCGGATAGGGATGCAACTACATGAATAAGGGCCGGTCATTATTTATGGCCGGGGGGGGGGGCACTGAGGAGAAACATTTTCTTGGCCAAATTTTTTAGTGACCCAACTTTCAAAAAAAAATTTTTCTCCACCCAACCCCAGCACTCATTCAAAAATCGTAGATCCACCCTGACTTAATTTTGCCAATTTACTTACTTAAAAGCTAGATTGACTTATATGAGTTTTTGAGAGAACAAAAAGTATGAGTCAACAAGTATGAATTCTGTCACTTTATCATGACTGTTATGGCAGGTTCAAATGGAATACTTTGCAAATTGACATAAGTAAATGATATTTATTCGATCTTAATAAAACAAATAATACAAATATTTTAGTATTATCCGACTTAATGATTTTTACTTTACCCACACCTTGGCTTGGTGAATTTTTATTCAACCCACCCATTTCCACCCATAAAATTTTGTTTACCCACCCATTTTCTCTTCAGGCCCCCCGTCCATAAATAATGACCAGTACCTAATACAAGGAAAACTTCGACATTTCGAGCGAAGGCACTTCGTCGGGAGGTTGTAGGACAGCCAACTAACTTCCTGACCGACCCAACGAAGTGCCTTTTCTCGAAATGTCGAAGTTCTCCTTGACAATGTATTTTTGAGGTAGTTGCATCCCTATCAATCCGCAGTTTTCTGGCTGTGGGGAGCGGTCTCTACAGGGGTGGAAAAAATAGGCGAGCACTGCTAGCAGAAAATGTTAAACAGCTGCAGGAAGTTCGTTTGAATGAAGATTTTCCATTGAAAATTTGAAGGAAACCTTTAACACCCATGCCCACCTATGGGCCGCAACAACATATGGTTGACAGACATTATTCCTTCAATTTCAGCTAGAAAATTATATGTTTATGCTAACCATATAGTCAGCTAAAACACTATATGTTTATGTACATGCAGATTTAGCACAAAAATACTCCGTTGGTCTGCAGGAAATTTTTGTCTCCAGGCTGTGCTCGCAGGAAGAAAATTCTTTTTTCCTGCCCTGGCGTTCTATAAGGAGTCTTAAAGTCCTCCAAATTAACTAGACATAAGCGCGTATATTGATTAGATATCTGCAAGCAGGCTACTGAGATCCAGCTATAATCACATTATAATGTATCACTATACTTTCATTCTTTAACAAGATACTATAGCTTACAAGTTTTACGAAATACTACTACCTCCTCCGCAGGCGCTTGGGGAGCATTTCGGCACCACCCGCAAACCGCCCGCAAATTTTCCCGAGAAAGGGCCTGCGGAGGAGGTAGGAAATACTACGTCGTTTTCGAAAATAACCAGGCTACAAAATAGATACGCAGGTTAAGGAAAAACAACTTTGTTGTTTGAAAGCTTCGAGGTAAGGAAGGAAAACAGAATTGATATTTGAAGTAGTAAAAAAAGTGGCAGAGAACTTCGTGCCGGAGCTGCAGCGACCACCAGCTTATTTTGAAAGCCCTCGATCGGCTGTGGTATCACAATTCATTTTCAAAATGTTCGCAGATCTGTGAATTTCTTTAAAAATTCAATGTGTGAATTTCTTTTAAAAATATGCATCTGAGATATGCAGCAATATTTTGTAGGACAGTATGAGATACAGAAACCTGTAGTGAGTTGTTACTGTATCTCCTAAAAAGATGTATCCCTGAAAATATAGGTATACCCAACGTAGGATTTTGGTCACTCAGGGTATGATAGTTCAGGGTGCGATAATTTGCGTACTTACGTACCGGAGGTATGCCAATAGAGAGGTTAAGATACCGTGGTTTCGGTGTACGGGTACGAGTAGTGTCATCTTGTTTTACTGATGCCTGTAATTAGCCTTTCTCACGCCGCCATTTTTGGGTGGCTTTTCAGCCGAAGTCTGCGAGATAAGTCCACATAACAGCGACTTTTTATATTTTTTTCGACGAATGATGGTAAATTTGCTTTGTAAATGGTTACTTTATTTTGAGGAATTTCTTTTCACATTGTTTTAATTGTCTGCATTAGTTAACGAGAATTGGATGCCACCCAAAAATGGCGGATATTCGTCATCGTGAGAAAGGCCAATTCGATCATACTTTTTCTGTTTTCTTGCAATAGACAATGATATAATGCGAAAAATGTGCACCTTAATTACGAGTAAAGGTACAGACAGCGACGAAAATATTGCTAACCAAAATCATGCTACCCGTACACCGAAACCGGGGTATCTTAACCTCTCTAATATTACGGTCTGGTACGTCCTTGTTTTCAGCCACGTACCTCGTAGGTACGCTCCACGTAACTCTCGCTATTTGCGTACTTACATTTTGCTGCTACCATATGACTTTGCCAAACCCAACGTATTCAAACCGTAATTAAGCCGGTATATGGGCATGTCTGACATGTCTTGGCATGAAAAATTATTGGACTGATGATACTAAGCCTAAGGAATGAGTCGATTCCAATGCTTGTGGTTTTAGGTTACTGAATTAATACCTTTCAGAAACCTGTACTTTATGTACTTCATTCTAAAGACTAAGTACACCTTGAGTCTAAAATGTGTCCCAGCTCAAGTACGCGGCAATAATCATTGGAGTAGCAGTTCAGTTTTTAGTTTGTTTTAACTTCCTTGCCTCTACTATAAATAATTAAGAAGCATTGAACCGTGGTAGTTAGTTGACTCAGTTTTTTTTTCGTTGAAGAAGCAAGGATTACATATTAGAGTTATCGGTTTCTTTATAGTACAGTGTTACAATCGCTTATTATCGGTTTATTATTCCTTGATCTTATTATATATCATGAATTTAGTTTACTCTACATTATTGTGCGAGTATATCTGCATGAACTGTATTTGCGTTAGCTTGCTATTGTAACAATATTTTCGGCTCTTTCTGTTGTGCCTTGCACATGGTTCGTGACCTGCATGTTATAATCTACTTAATTTATTCATAATCTATTAAAAATCCGATCTAGTGTACAATGTATAGAAATATTTGGCTGCAAACTGTGAGACTTCATCAGCTACCAAAATATTCCACCCATATATATATACTTAAAACTTTCACTGTTTTGTGTATTTTACGTGACGTTTATTAATTCTCAAAATTATGTCAAACTCTGCCCAAAACGCATGAAATGGCATTTCAGAGACGCAGATATAAAATTTCCCGGGGGAGGATGCCCCTGGATACCCTACGAGGTTTCGCACCTTAGGCGATCGAGTGCCCTGTTCAAGATTCTGCTCCCGCCGCTTTTCAGTCCTTCCGGCGCCCCTGATCAGAACTCAGTATTTCAGCGGTCTATATCCCATAAACTGTCTCATAGCATGCTTCAAGCAATTACTGTGAGTTTATGTGGGGTAGGTATCTTTCGAGTTAAGCCCTTCGAGTTAAGTATTAGTATTCTCTATATAGAGAATACCGATGAAGCATTCAACAAAAGATATAGAGAATACTAACGAGTTATACAAAACATATAATAAAAATAATTATTTGTGGATGTGATCAAGTCGGATAGGCAATGATCGCTTGTATGCGTTCAGTGATTATGGACTCCCTCGAATTAGTTAGACGGTCCAACTAATATCCCACTGAACACACGCGATCATTATCTATCCTGTACAAAGACTTTCACTCAAAATGTTGAAATTGACATGACAAACTTTGATTTAATATTATAGTTATAATTGCAGACATAGAATATTTTAATACATGGATCACCATTAATACACCCTAAAGAGATAGTTACTACAATGCTATACTTATCAAGAAATTTAATTAAATATCAACACCTATATTGGCTAGCCTATAATGAAGATCAAAAGTTCGTAGTCATTTATTTGCAAGTGGACTTGAAATAAGCCAACGTATAGGCAAGGAAAGCTGCTGTGCCAATATATGTACGGACATCGTGGTAGTCGGCGAACTTCTGGAACATGCCTCTGACATGAGCATCGTCTGCAAAGATAAGATAAAATAATAGTTTAGTTAGTGCAGTCTGGGTTTAGCAGGGCTTTCAGAATTATTTTGAGTAGGTGGCTGTGGGGAGTATAATCGGTCTGTGCCAGTGTAGGTACTGCCAATAATATGAAAACTTCGGATAGGGATGCAACTACATGAATAAGGGCCGGTCATTATTTATGGCCGGGGGGGGGGGCACTGAGGAGAAACATTTTCTTGGCCAAATTTTTTAGTGACCCAACTTTCAAAAAAAAATTTTTCTCCACCCAACCCCAGCGCTCATTCAAAAATCGTAGATCCACCCTGACTTAATTTTGCCAATTTACTTACTTAAAAGCTAGATTGACTTATATGAGTTTTTGAGAGAACAAAAAGTATGAGCCAACAAGTATGAATTCTGTCACTTTATCATGACTGTTATGGCAGGTTCAAATGGAATACTTTGCAAATTGACATAAGTAAATGATATTTATTCGATCTTAATAAAACAAATAACACAAATATTTTAGTATTATCCGACTTAATGATTTTTACTTTACCCACACCTTGGCTTGGTGAATTTTTATTCAACCCACCCATTTCCACCCATAAAATTTTGTTTACCCACCCATTTTCTCTTCAGCCCCCCCCCGGCCATAAATAATGACCAGTACCTAATACAAGGAAAACTTCGACGTTTCGAGCGAAGGCTCTTCGTCGGGAGGTTGTAGGACAGCCAACTAACTTCCTGACCGACCCAATGAAGTGCCTTTTCTCGAAATGTCGAAGTTCTCCTTGACAATGTATTTTTGAGGTAGTTGCATCCCTATCAATCCGCAGTTTTCTGACTGTGGGGAGCGGTCTCTACAGGGGTGGAAAAAATAGGCGAGCACGCGAGCACTGCTAGCAGAAAATGTTAAACAGCTGCAGGAAGTTCGTTTGAATGAAGATTTTCTATTGAAAATTTGAAGGAAACCTTTAACACCCATGCCCACCTATGGGCCGCAACAACATATGGTTGACAGACATTATTCCTTCAATTTCAGCTAGAAAATTATATGTTTATGCTAACCATATAGTCAGCTAAAACACTATATGTTTAGATACATGCAGATTTAGCACAAAAATACTCCGTTGGTCTGCAGGAAATTTTTGTCTCCAGGCTGTGCTCGCAGGAAGAAAATTCTTTTTTCCTGCCCTGGCGTTCTATAAGGAGTCTTAAAGTCCTCCAAATTAACTAGACATAAGCGCGTATATTGATTAGATATCTGCAAGCAGGCTACTGAGATCCAGCTATAACCACATTATGATGTATCACTATACTTTCATTCTTTAACAAGATACTGTAGCTTACAAGTTTTACGAAATACTACTACCTCCTCCGCAGGCGCTTGGGGAGCATTTCGGCACCACCCGCAAACCGCCCGCATATTTGCCCGAGAAAGGGCCTGCGGAGGAGGTAGGAAATACTACGTCGTTTTCGAAAATAACCAGGCTACAAAATAGATACGCAGGTTAAGGAAAAACAACTTTGTTGTTTGAAAGCTTCGAGGTGAGGAAGGAAAACAGAATTGATATTTGAAGTAGTAAAAAAAGTGGCAGTGAACTTCGTGCCGGAGCTGCAGCGACCAGCAGCTTATTTTGAAAGCCCTCGATCGGCTGTGGTATCACAATTCATTTTCAAAATGTTCGCATTTCTTTTAAAAATATGCATCTGAGATATGCAGCAATATTTTGTAGGACAGTATGAGATACAGAAACCTGTAGTGACTTGTTACTGTATCTCCTAAAAAGATGTATCCCTGAAAATATAGGTATACCCAGAGTAGGATTTTGGTCACTCAGGGTATGATAGTTCAGGGTGCGATAATTTGCGTACTTACGTACCGGAGGTATGCCAATAGAGAGGTTAACATACCGTGGTTTCGGTGTACGGGTACGAGTAGTGTCATCTTGTTTTACTGATGCCTGTAATTAGCCTTTCTCACGCCGCCATTTTTGGGTGGCATTTCAGCCGAAGTCTGCGAAATAAGTCCACATAAGAGCGACTTTTTATATTTTTTTCGACGAATGATGGTAAATTTGCTTTGTAAATGGTTAGTTTATTTTGAGGAATTGCTGTTCACATTGTTTTAATTGTCTGCATTAGTTAACGAGAATTGGATGCCACCCAAAAATGTGAGAAAGGCCAATTCGATCATACTTTTTCTGTTTTCTTGCAATAGACAATGATATAATGCGAAAAATGTGCACCTTAATTACGAGTAAAGGTACAGACATCGACGAAAATATTGCTAACCAAAATCATGCTACCCGTACACCGAAACCGGGGTATCTTAACCTGTCTAATATTACGGTCTGGTACGTTCTTGTTTTCAGCCACGTACCTCGTAGGTACACTCCACGTAACTCTCGCTATTTGCGTATTTACATTTTTCTGCTACCATATGACTTTACCAAACCCAACGTATTCAAACCGCAATTAAGCCGGTAATATATGGGCATGTCTGACATGTCTTGGCATGAAAAATTATTGGACTGATGATACTAAGCCTAAGGAATGAGTCGATTCCAATGCTTGTGTATGCAGTTGTCGTCCTTCTTGTTCTAACTCGTGGTTTTATGTTACTGAACTAATACCTTTCAGAAAACTGTACTTTATGTACTTCATTTTAATGACTAAGTACACCTTGAGTCTAAAATGTGTCCCAGCTCAAGTACGCGGCAATAATCATTGGAGTAGCAGTCAGGTACGACTAAAAATCTTCAGTTATCGCATCATGAAGGTTATAGGGCCCAGTCTGAACAACTACAAAGTCGTCGCTCTGCCAAAAGCCGTGTGTTATCTCCGGGCGCTCTGGTTTCCACCCGACAGGAGAAATTGACAGGATAGGTTAGGTCAGGATAAATACAATTAAGAGAGTAATTATTATTAATATCATAATTGTCGTATTGATGAAATGATCTACGCTAAGTCTAATACTTAAGGTAATTCCGCAGTAATTGTTCCCGAAATGAGAATGTGCTGAAACTTCCCAGGCATGCAGTTTATGATATACTTAAAGTAAAATCACACAAAAAAGTCGGGGTCACCGAACTCGTTAAGAAGATATGCAGTGGCGTGCTGGGTACTATTTCTCTGGAGGGGCAGTGGGCTGTCAACCAATATGCGCCCTTATAATGTTACGCTTGATAAACGAGGGCCGAAGGCACGAGCCGAGCGCCGCAGGTGCGAGGTTTGTGTAGGGGGGGTCCGGGGGAATGCCTCCCAGGAAAATTTTTCAATTTAGAGTCTCTGAAATGCCATTTCCTGGACTTTGGGGGAAGATTTGACAGAAATCTGATGGTCAGGGAACGGATTATAACGTGTCGAAATTTGCAATTTGGTTAGAATTTAGTAATAGTACTTAAATTATGCAATGCTAACTACTTCCAGCTTTTATTCTCCCAATTCTATTTTCTACTGATCTAGTGTTCTGAATACATTTACAACTTACAGCTCTTTTATACAATAACACACGGACCCCACGCATATGCATTTTATGGTTTCCTTGCCTGGCTGCCAAAAGGGCGTGTTTCAGCATATTTCATTACTTACATTACTCATGATGTTTCTTGCGCAAACAAACAAATTGCGTACACAATTTTACATAATAAGGGGCATAATATAAGTGCATAATACCAGCAAAAAAGGGCATAATTCCCGTGATCACTTCGAAACCTGACCAATATTCCGGTAATGAGACATTGCCTGTGATCACTGATCATGTTTCTCTATGAACGATTTTGTGTGAGCTGTGAGGTAGCAAATTAGCAAATACGGTTAGACAAAATAGTCTGTAATTTAATATGTGTGACTTTGTCGTCTGTGCGCTTAGTCTGTTTATAAGCACATCTTTTCTTGGCGGAAGTAACTATATTTTTTCGAATGCGTTTTTTCCCACCCACTTTCAAAATTCGGCGCCCCCTTTTCATTTTTGCGCCCCCCAAGAATTGCCAGCTGGGGGGGGCTTGGCCCCCCGGCCCCCCCTGCCAGCACGCCACTGAAGATATGACAATCACAATATACCACCTTTACCCCAACATGGCGCCATCTTGACGCTCATTACGAGTAACAGCAAACTCACAACAGCCCGATATTTATTGACGTTTTTAGCGCGGATTTTGCTTTTAGTCTAGGACCTGTATATGAGTTTGTATGCGTTTCATTTAGCACAGATAATCTCAACTGTTTTAGGGTAAAATGACCATGGCGGTCAACATGGCATATGTGCCAAAACCTGAATCCGGGACGAAAGTCCTGAAAATGACCCCGCCCTGAAACGGCAGTGTCGACATAGCTCTAACTTCAGAAAACAAAAAGCGATGGTCTTTCTGAAGTGCTTATAGTGTTTAGAAGGGTTGCTTTTAGGGGTGGTCATTGGAAGGAAAAATTTGTCTAAGTAAATATTTTACAAGAAATTGACCATGCAAATACCCAGGTAAATTGCTAATTATGCATAAAATCACTAATATGCCTGGCAGAAATTAAATATTCTTATTTCCTAAAAAATATTATCATGGGGTGAAAAACAATGCTTAATTTAATATAAATATTGTTGATATCATAAGGATTGTCATTGTTTTCTTTAAATACAATACATTTTATTTCACTTACTCCCCACGAAAACACGATTTCAGCCATATTTTGCCGTCTTGTTTGCTTTTTATCGCCGAATCTCGCAAATATCATCCAGTTATTGTACTTTTACATAATCATAAATGGCTGAAGAGATTTCAAAGAAGGTTTCATCCATTTTAGAAACAGTGCAGTGTATTTTATCTTCGATATTGTGTCCTTCGATATTTCCTCAAATTGCCGCCATTTTAATGGCTCGCCGCTTCTCTGCCCGATAAATGCCACTTCTTCGTTTTCATATGTATTTAGATTACATTATCCAGGAGTACTTCATTGTAGAATAGTCCCAATCCAAAAATTTGAAATATTATTTGTATTTGGGAGGAAAAAACCTCCCATAATAGTTGTCCTGTCAGAATTCAAAAGAAGTAATTTAAAAGTCACGCGCAAGTTCGCGAAAACACCTCGTGGTTTACATAACAGGGGGGTGAATATTTTCACGAAACGTTTGTTCGCCACCACAGCAACCTAACTAAATGTATTATTTTTTTGTATTTTTATAATTGATGATAAATATACGCAAATATTTATTGTTTTTATCATAATCACAAATATACAATAAATATAATGTACTTAGTTAGGTTGCCGAATGCCGTGGCCTGTGGTGGAGAACAAACGCTTCGTGAAATATTCACCCCCCTGTTATGTAACCCACGAGGTGTTTTCGCGAACTTGCGCGTGACTATTAAATTACTTCTTTTGAATTCTGACAGGACAACTATTATGGGAGGTTTTTTCTCCCCAAATACAAATAATATTTCCAATTTTTGGATTGGGACTATTCTACAATGAAGTACTCCTGGATAATGTAATCTAAATACATATGAAAACGAAGAAGTGGCATTTATCGGGCAGAGAAGCGGCGAGCCATTAAAATGGCGGCAATTTGACGAAGTATCGAAGGACACAATATCGAAGATAAAATACACTGCACTGTTTCTAAAGTGGATGAAACCTTCTTTGAAATCTTCTTCAGCCATTTCTAATTATGTAAATGTACAATAACTGGATGATATTTGCGAGATTCGGCGATAAAAAGCAAACAAGACGGCAAAATATGGCTGAAATCGTGTTTTCGTGGGGGGTAAGTGAAATAAAATGTATTATATTTAAAGAAAACAATGACAATCCTTATGATATCAACAATATTTATATTAAATTAAGCATAGTTTTTCACCCCATGATAATTTTTTTTAGGAAATACGAATATTTCATTTCTGCCAGGCATATTAGTTATTTTATGCATAATTAGCAATTTACCTGGGGTGGTGCATGGTCATTTTCTTGTAAAATATTTACTTAGACAAATTTTTTCTTCCAATGACCACCTAAAAGTAACCCTTCTAAACACTATAAGCACTTCAGAAAGACTATCGCTTTTTGTTTGCTGAAGTTAGAGCTATGTCAACACTGCCGTTTCAGGGCGGGGTCATTTTCAGGACTTTCGTCCCGGATTCAGGTTTTGGCACATATGCCATGTTGACCGCCATGGTCATTTTACCCTAAAACAGTTGAGATTACCTGTGCTAAATGAAACGCATACAAACTCATATACAGGTCCTAGACTATTTAGTAAACCTATCTTGTAAATAATAAATTATTTTTGAAAAAATATTGTGTTTTGAGTGAAATGAAACTACTAACGTGTACAATTCTGATCCACAAACGTCTTTTGCACATTTCTTTACATATCTTTCTTTGAGAAAATGCATTGGTAAAGGATTCTATTTCAAGATCCAGAAATGATTTTTCTTTTAATTTCGGATATGAAATGTAAAATGCGGGTCACCGACCTTTTTGGGGGAATTGTGGCATTAAAACGTGAAAGACAAGTAAATTTATATAGTACATACACAGGGAACCCTAGCTACTCATTTGTATGCCTTTTTTGAAAACATTGATTTTAACGTAATTCTTTGCACGAATGTAACCAAACATGTTTTGAAGTAAAATAAAATTGTCACAAAATGATTTTTTTTAAACGGTACGTATAATGGATGAAATTATAAGTTATAAGATGTGCGCAGTAAAAGTGCGCAATGCAAAACTGCGGAATTACCTTAAGAGAGTAATATTAATATCATAATTGTCGTATTGATGAAATGGTCTACGCTAAGTTTAATACTTAATGAGTAGCGCATTTCATCATAACCACATGTAAATTTGCGCCATAGAAATGTTAATAGTAATCGTATATTGAAGTAGATTGAAAATTGTAGATTGTAGATCGCATTAAAATTACTGATTGAAAGCTTTCCCACAAAAGACAATGTTAATCTTAATTACCATTGTTCTTGAGAAGATCTGCATCCATGAGTGGTTCTATGGATTTAGGATAAACGACCTTCACAGTAAATCCACCATTGAAAAACATTCCCAGACCACCAACTAACCATGGAAGATCTTCCAATTTTCTTCTTACAAGGAATGCTCCTACACCTGAAACTCCTCCAATTAATGACGAGCGAGGCTAAATGTAATTAAGAAGGTACATTTGAAATTGCACATTGCAAATGAATGAAATTGGGCCAAGTAAAAACAAATAGTAGTTTCTCGTCCGAATTTTGAAAAACAAGGAGAACGCGAGAAATTTGATTTTTTTCTACTCAAAATTTATACCAATTTAACAAATATAAAAATATGTTGCCAAAACAACATTGGCGCAAAAGGTTCCAAGCAGTTCCAAACAAGTTCTGAAAGGTAATTGGAGGTTTCTGACAGCTTCCGAAAGGGCCGAAAAATGGCGAATAAAAAATAAAAAAAGGAAAGTGGATGCGGCAGGAAATAAGCATGGGCGCAGGGACGAGAAACTACTAGTTTTTCAATTGGCCTTGAGTGTACATTTGAATGTACATTTGAATTTCCACATGTGAAAAGTGCACTGTGTATTTTATTTACTGTCGTTGCAATGGAAGTGTTGATAAAATATCGCATCAATTCATTACTTAGAACTGATCAATTCATTCGTTGAAAAATTGATCAACTTCCTGTGTGATTGAATCAACCAATGGCTTTACGTTTCATTGATTGACTGACCAATTGGGAACAAGCATACCAGTAAACAGGAAGTTGATCAATTTTCTATCAAATGAATTGATCAACTTGAGGAAAGGAATTGGTGCAATATTTTATCAACACTTCCATTGCATCGACACTCGACAGTAAAGACAGAGTCAAGTCTGTTCTGTGCATGTACTATGCGAGGACCCTTCAATATAAACAATACTCAAATTTCATGTTGTTTCAACATCTTCTAAATTGAAACTCCAATCTAATATTCATTGAAAAGTATAGGGAACCAGAACGACGTTAGATATTAACTAAGTACATCATATTTTATGAAAATCAATATAGGACGTGCTGAAAATGTAAACAAACCCGAACATCTGCATCCATCTTTAAAATAGTAACTCTGAAAACGGTAAACATTTTCAAAATAATTTATTTCACGTTTCGACTAGATTTTAGTCATCATCAGGACGGAATGGAATTACTACATATCAAGTGTAGGTTTCAATATATATATTGCAAATACTTGGACACCATTTTGCATTTTCAATTGTACAGTATACTGTACCATTATAAGAAGTCTGAATACAAGTCATGGTATGAAATATAGGGGTACACCGGATTTCAAATCCGGCCGGAATTCCGGCCGGATTTAACGAATTTTTTCCGGCATCCGGCCGGATTTGGAGAAAATCCGGCCGGATTTAAATTGCTGTTTTCACCTTAAAAAGTTCACCAAGAATGGGATAAACCATCAATTTGGCGGCTTTAAAGTTTAAAAAAACACTTATATTATTATAAAATATTAAGTTAGGCCAAATAAAAAAATATGTGGGTTTCCGGTTTCCCGACCCTACCTAGCTTTTGGACGTCGAAATCCCGACCGTAAACTTTTTTATTGGATCACGCTTCTAAGTGTTTCCACTTAGAGCAAAACGTTTGTGGAAAATGAAAATTTGAGGCAATATTACGGAAATTTATGTTTGGACACAGAATAGGAAGTTATACCAGAAGCGTAACTCTAGTCGTTTCCCTTATCCACGAAAATTTTAACTCGCTCACGTCAGGCCACGCCATCCTGGCTAGTACAGCCGGAAGTTTTTATCAGGATTTGGTAGGTACAAAGTGCCGGTTGTACTAGCCAGGATGGCGTGATTGATGACGAATCGCTTGTAAAAACGCGGACAAATATTTGCTCGAGTTACGCTTCTGGTATAACTTCCTATTCTGTGGTTTGGATGTGGAAGCACTGACTAAACAAAATGGCGTCCGGTTGTTAGGAAAATTAAAAAAAAAGTTAAAACCGACCTACCCTACCTAAGTTTTTACAAGAGGAAACCGGAAACCCACATATTTTTTTTTTGGCCTTATTAGTAACAAAAAGATGTTTAAAAAAGGTTTAAACACAATCAAAAATCTAAACTGACACGAACTAAAAATAGTAAAAAACATAAACCGTCATTTTGAATACTGATTTATCCCCAATTGTCCCCATTACCGGTTTATCTCAAATCCGGCCGGAATTTTTGTCCAAATCCGGTTCCGGCCAGATTTGAAAATTCCAAATCCGGTGCACCCCTAATGAAATATCTTTGATATCTAATTAATATCCAACACAAATTTCAGTAACTGAAAGCATGAGGCAAGTATAATTTGCAAAATGCAAACTGACAGGAGGGGGATATTGGAATTTGTCGTGATGACCATTTCTTGTGTGGCATTACTGTAAAAAAAACTTCAATGCAGTGTTGCAGTCTGCTGAATTCCTGCAAGACAATGTTTGTAAAGCAACAGTGTTGCAGGGAGAAAATATCTGAAATGGCAGTATTATAAATTAATAGTACCATGTTGAATAAATGAGTACAGTATAATCATGGTGTAATTGTTAAATTTATCTGTGTGCAGGATTTGCAATTAGCTTCTGGTAGACAGCCAGCTAGAAGACAACATTCTCAGAATATTACATTCACTTTTATTTGGTCAAATTACAAGCGAGTGCCTGTATTGAAAGGTTAATTAACCCATCAAGTTGCATTGCATACACCTGCACAATGTATACACCCAATTATATTATTTTACTATCTCCAGACAATTTTACTCATCAAGGGGAGAGCACTGGTAAGTACTCAATATGGGTTAACATATACATGGTGAGCTAATAATATACTGTACGGTGCAGCAACAGTGGTTCACTGTGATTTAGGTTATTATGATTTTGCAGTACAGTGTTTCAATATTTTTTTGTTGTGCACACTATTGTGACTAGTGGACCCCATATATCCCCTAATATCTAACAATGGTTAGAGTGCTCGTCCCTTAAAAAGTAAAATCATCTGGTGTTAGACAGAGTAAATAATAAAATATCAAATATGGCACATCAGGACGCATTGCCACGTAAAGGGTAACCTGAGTATCAGGCTCTATTTTACAAATAATAGCCTGACACAAACCTTAATCCGATTGCTTTCCACTAACAGCAAAGTTTATATTTAGTATCCCATCAAAATGTTGCAGGAGAAATTTAACAACAACAATCTAATTATAATTTTTTTTTCTGTGATGGTGGTGTGTACTCAGGTGTGAATATGATGTTTGTGATGTTACTCTGAGTGTATATCCACACCGGGCGAGCTTGAAAAATATGCCCGGCCACGGTGGGAATCGAACCTACGACCTTTGGAATACTAGTCCAGAGTTTGGGATTCGAGTTTGGAATCGAACCTACAACCTTTGGATTCCAGAGTTTGGAATCAAACCTACGACCTTTGGAATACTAGCCCATGTTACTCAGAGTAACATCACAAACATCATATTCACACCTGAGTACACAACACCATCACAGAAAAAAAATCATATTACTAGATTACATTGGTATCGAAGGAACTAGATTCTGTTCCGAAATATCACTTACTCGAACCGTCCTGACCGCGTAGCTCAGTTGGCAGAGCATTGGGCTAGTATCCAAAGGTCGTATGTTCGATTCCCACCGTGGCCGGGCATATTTTTCAAGCTCGCCCGGTGTGGATATACACTCAGAGTAACATCACAAACATCAAATCTAATTATAGTTGTGATCACTATAAAATATATCAACAACAATAGTATAATCTAATTAGCACCAATCAAATGACAGATTAAAAAATCTTTTGTCTCATAGACCAATCAGATTTACAACCGACATATGGTTGTACAGCATGGACTTTTGTTAAGGTTTGTATCAGGCCTACTTATTTATTTATAGGCCTGATCGAAGGTTACATAAGGGTTAACAGGATGCATGGGAAGTGGCAGTACTCTCCTCTTGACAAGTAAAATCATCTAAAGACAGAGTAAAATAATTTGGCATTTGATAGATTGAGTGACATTGATAATAAAGTAGGGAACATCAGGACACATTGCCACTCAAGTTTAATAATATCAATAAATTGTGTCGACCAAAGGTCAAATTATACAAGTACCTATACTTGTATGATTTTGTATCACATTCATCACAGTTATTCACCGTGCATTCACAAATCACAAATTAATTCTACAGAACTTCAACATTCAAATTCAACAGAAATTCTCTTTCCAACTTTCAACCCATGTGAAAACTGTGCACAGCAAACTTTCTCTAGCTTGAATAATTTGCCAATTAAGAAATTGCAAAATATAGCAATTGATGAGGCAAGCAACCACTACAGCTACGCGCCTACAGGCCTCATTCAAACAAAAAATATCTAACTGTATAATACATCTAAACTAGGAATATTAAAGTATTGCAACATATTTCATTGTACATACCATTTGTCTAACTCGTGGCCAGAAGTATCTAAAATTCATCAAAGCTTGGTCCATATCTGTCATAGCCAGAATACCAGGCAGTTGCGAAGCTCCGCAATAAATCGCTCCACCAGCGAACAACCCAGACGAAATAATACCTGCAAACTTTAGACCTACTTCAAGATTATCCAATGTTAGATATTTCTCCATTATTGCTGAAAAATTAAGGAGTTTTGGAACACAAGTTGATGAAACAGATCACAAAGCTAAAAAGTTACAACGCGGTTAATATATTGCATAATTCAAAAGCGTTGTTGATATTATTAATTACCCAAAATATTCCAAACGTTCAGACCGGAAATGAAAATATATTTGCAAATAAAGTTGTATTGTAGAATGTGTAGCGCCGAAACAGACAAAACTCATGCAGTAAAAAGCTTCCTAAGCTATATAAAACAGAGCTAAAGAACTGAATTGGTGAAAATGTGTTTTATTATAATCGTGGTTTTTAAAATTTTCTTCTCGAAATTATAAAATTTATACTGAAATGTTTGTCTAATTATATTCAAATTAATTACATTAATACACCCACCCGCGAGAATCGCGAAGAATTCCCGCGCAAATAATTTAGTGATGGCGTTTTCCACTGATTTTCGCACTGTTTTTTTAGGGTTGAGTGTGAATATGTTTTCGGATCGTCGGATTTCACAGAAAAAATTGTTCGGATTTCGGTTCCGGCGAATATTTTACACGGATTTGCGGATCTTATTAATACAGCGGATTGCGGATTTATCCAATATATTTTGGCTCGGATTGTGGATTTAGCTTGCAATTTAGTTCGGATCCTGGATTGTGACTTTATAGTAGAGATTTATCGGATTCAAATTTAGACAAAACCATTGTCGGATCGAGGATTTTGCTTCAAATTTGGGTTGATCGGCGGTTTTGTATACCCCTATTCACCCCCCCCCCCCCATTTTAGATTATACAGTGTTGTTATATAATCTTCATACAGTTCTATCGAAGCAGTCAATGTTGAAACTGACAGGAAAATTTCGGCAGAAAGTCTCTGTACAAGCAGTACAGCTATACATAGTACAGTTTAAAACATGATTTATATAGATTAGCATTCATCCTCGCGTCCCGCGCGCGGAATCTTCGGCAAAAATCAGATGATCAAACTGATTATCAATTTCCCGTTTGTAATGCAAAATAGTGAGCTTAAGCAAGTGACGTTTTTGACAACACGAACGGCATGAGTAACGTCAGAAGACTGGGTCAAGGGCTGTGATTGGTGAAAAACGTCAACTTTACTTCCGGTCAACGTCCGTGTTGTCAAAAACGCAGCATGAGCTCCACCTTTGAATTTACTATATGAGTAAATTCTTAAACACGTCCGAATTTATCATTATGATAAATTCGCGGCAAATTTTGAATTTATCATAATAATAAATTCGCGGCACCTAACACTAACCCTAACCCCAACCCTAACCACTAACCCCTAACCCCTAACCCCTAACCACTAACCCCTAACCCTCATTTTTTAAACTTTTTAAATTTTTTAACTTTTTTAAAAATCTAACTTTTTAAACTTTTTTTGCTTTTCAAAACTCTTTTAAAACTTTTTTAAGAACTATTTTTTTAAAATACATGAAAAACTCCCCGCCCCTGCGCTACCAGCCTCCCTTTTAGTGCCATTACCATTACACTTATAACTAGTAATAATCTTAGATTAGTGAAGTGCGTTCGGTCACAGAGGTTCGGTGTAGAGTACACGTTGTCCAAAATGTTATTATTGCATCATAGGGTAGTTATCAAAAGTGGGCCGGATGCCATCATTTGGAAACAACTGATTTTTTATTGCATCTACTTCTCTTTACTGTTTTTCACAGGCTGGCATAAGCTATTCATTTCTGTTGTCACATTGTACATTAACTTTGTCTTCAATGTTATCACTGGAAGGGCCTACTGTAAATCAGGCGATATTATTTCATGTGTCCAAATATCTACTTGCATCTACTTCTCTTTTACTGTTTTTCACAGGCTGGCAGGCACATAAAGCTATTCATTTCTGTTGTCACACTGTACATTAACTTTGTCTTCAATGTTATGTTGTTATCACTGGAAGGGCCTACTGTAAATCAGGCGATATTATTTCATGTGTCCAAATATCATTTTCATACTCAACTGTCATATCAGATGGAACACTACCAATAGGGAGTGATTCTACGGCATTGTTGATTGATAGTCACATTACTATAATGTAGATTATTTCTCAAAAGCCCTAGCATTTATATAGCATTAATGCATGTTGCACTTTTTCTTACTTCTGACCTTAATATCCTTAAATGTGTTATCTTTACCCTTTATCTTAACTATAATAATAGACCCTGGGATGACTTGGCAAAACTGATGCAAGCTCTTCAACATGTTGCTCAAGGCAAATTAATGCAATGCCCTGAATACCCCCATTTGCCTGCCTGGTTTATGATATAAACCCTAATTATAGGCGAGCTCGAGGTATGAGTTTGAGTTTATAGGCCTTGCAACTCAACTAAATAGAATTTTGTGCCCCTGGTGTAAAGGGTTTACAATGGTGCATTAGCATTTGGACTGGAATCAGTAATATGAATAGTGCAGCTTAAAGCATTTGCTCCTGCTTGATAATGATACCATGTTCCAGGTTGTGACATTTCTTCAACATAATTTTCCCATAAAATATTTTCAATTTATTATACAGTATAGTAGAGAGTAAGATACAAAAAAATACACAGTGAGATATTTCCCATATCTTCACTAGTGAAGATACCCATATCTTCACTAGTGAAGATATTGATCACGTGACTTAGTATTTATAAATTTTTTTGCTTGGGACTATATAATAAACAGAACATTACACAGTGGCTTGAAGATACGACTTTTATCCTCTCGTGTTAAAAACAATATTTTACTCACTCGCTGCACTTGTTCGTAACTCGTTCATAAAATATTGTTTTCACCGCTCAAAGATAAAAGTCATATCTTCATGCCGCCGTGTAATATCCTCTATTTATAACTCAGGATTATGCATTAAATGTGTAATGCCTGCACTACGAATATCAAGATGGCAAATTAGGATTTTTATAAAGACCATGTCCTGAGGATGCAAAAAAGCAGTCACCAGGTGAACTTTCACAGTTATATGGCACTATATTCAATATAAGCGAACAAAATATTCCAATGCAAGTTGCTGTTATTATTTGCTGAATACAAGCGGGATGGCCCGGTTGCCGATATCTCACTTGAAAGAGGTGAGATCTCGCATACCGGGATGGAAATTTCTCCATATAATACTCATAAGCAGGCTAGCCCGGTTCCAGGGATGAAAATTCAAAGATACCGCCACAAGCTATTTTTAACAACTGTCAAAACAATAAAATTGTTAACACAAGAGAAATAGAAATTCATCCCGCTTACCAGGCTGTCTCACTAAGCGGGCCAGCCCAGCTTCCATATAAACACAAAGGTTCCAACTGACTAATTTATAAAAGCATCAGAAATTTCATTGGTAGCACGGGTCAAACATGGCAAGAAATGTTCATGAAAAATACAGCTGAATTCGTCAGTAAAACTTCGCTCTGCTTGTCTATGAATATTATGATTACTGATTAGGTTCATTGTGTCAACAAAATTACTGGGATTTGTATATTTGTATGTCCACCTAGTATACTACAGCCAAACTGGGATTTGTGTATTTATTTGTCAATTGTCATGCTTAATTAAAACTCGTATTTTTCAACACAGCTCTGCAAATTAAAATGCTTAACAACGTTTACTTCATCAACATTCAATGACCAAAGAGAATATACTGGACATGCATCCAAACCCTTTATTAAGCAGAGCGAACTCAAGTTAAATCTGTGAACTCTAGCTGACAATTTAAAAAGATAGCAAATTGAAATGTCGGATTGCCAGTCGATAAAACACCACAAGACAAATTCTTGATGCTTTGGTAAGTACCTTTGATAAGTGTAATAAAAATAACACAACACCACCGATTACCTTACATTAAACCGCAGGAAAAACCCCAAAACAACAGCTAAAATCTCCTTCTGTCTTCGCAAAATATGGAAAGCACATGGGAACACAAAGACGCCGCACGAAACCGGAAACCGAGGCAAATGCCATGAACACGAAAGCGAGGCAAATGCCATGAACACGAAAGCGAGGCAAATGTTACATCCAAAAAATCTCAAAAGGACACAGCATCCAGCCGTGACGTCACGATTAGGAAGCGTTCTCCTTCGTCGAACGCAAATAGTGTAATATCAATATATTTTCGCACGAACCCAAAATTCGCACTTTCGCAAGCTATTTCTGTGGTTATAACTTATACCCAGTGAACACTCGGAATAGTTCACAGATTAAGATCTGTTGAGAAAAATTAATCTTATTTACAACAATATATTCGTGCGAGCAGAACAATATCACTCAGCCCGCTTTATCTTTATAGGCGAGCCAGCCCGGGTCATTGTGTATATAAGCGAGTTCAGCCTGACACAAGCACTTTTTATTTGTAATCGAACAATGCATTTCAGCTAGAAAACTCGTTTTTGCATTTCTGGGCTCTGGGAGGTAATGCTGTGGCGAAGGTTGGAGTTCTGTTGGAGCTGAGGAGCTCCAGCGTTTTTGGTTAGTTGGAGCCGGCGGAGTCATGACAGTGCTTTTTCCTAGCTCCAGCTGGAAAGTCAGAGGCTGTGTGCACAGTGTTGATACCCAAATCCGTAACAGGCATGGTCTGCCGTGCATAAGCGTGTGTAAAGCACTGTTACGCACGGTCTTGGCATGCAAGACCGTGCCTAAGCTAATAAGGCATGCTGCTGCTTAAGTTTGGCATGCCTAGTGTCATATATTTATTCTTGCAACCGATAACATTTGCCGACCGGCACAATTTTCAAACAGGATGGCCGTGCGTAAGTGTGCGTTACCGTGCGTATTTGGCAATGTCATCAACACTACTAAAATCAGTGTCTGGTTTCAAATTTTGGGTTTGAGACCTAAGCGTTTGTGGCGTATATATGTTTACTTCAAAATTATTGTAGTATAAAACAAATAAGGTGATTGCTAGTGTTCTATTGGTGCCAGAATGATTATGTAAAGTTAATATTGCTGTATACAGTACTTTTATTAGTGCATTTTTGCCGTTAGGTTGTATTTACCAGTGAGTACATGTATTTACCAGTACATATGCCGTTGCATTTACCAGTACATGTATTTACCATCTTCATTTTATGTATAATGTGGCAGTATACAATGAATTGTGAACCAAACACTTTATGTACATATAGTGATATAGGCGTATAACTAGTGTAGTTTCAATTCAATATATGGTCCGAACGGTCCGACCACCCGATCGGGAATTTTAGTATAGAAATTATTTGGCGTCAAAATCAACATGTACTAACAACAAAAATTATTTTTTCACAACAATATTTTATTGAATGTTATACACAAAGCCAAAGGACGAAGAGTTCTACATAAAGAAATCATTTTTAAAGTGAAGAGATTAGAAAAGAAAATTAGATTAGAAAATTAGTGAAGAGATTCTTGCTTTTAAGTACTTTGTTGCGATGGTTAAATGCTTTACCAACGCGTTTCCTATTTATATTAAGCATTTTGTCTTCATACGTTTCTTTTGAATTGTTTCATCACAAAGAAAGCCATGAGCTGTCTTAGTAGCTGCCCAAGAGTCATTAGATCGTTGACCTTTTGTGTCGCTAATGGCATCTCGCGCGTCGCGCAACGCAGAAACAGCAACTTCAGCTTCTTCACTTTTTCCCCCTGAAACAACGAGACCTTTGCTCTCAAGTCCTTTCCTCGTTGTTGGGCTTTCGATTAGTGCAGCCACGACAGCTATTCTCTTCGCTGGACTTTTAGGAAGCTGCGATCTTACTAAATCGACTTTCCGCTTTTTAGCCATTCTTGTCGGGAAAATTTTGTTACCAGACTGACCAGACACTTCGCTACTGCGTTTGAATTTTGTGGCCCTTGACGTTTCCTCTTTTCGCTTTATCTCCTCTTTGGCCCTTGCCCGTTGTCGCCGTTTATATAGCGCCCAGTCGTATTTTTTTGTCGCACTGTTATCAGTAACGCTTGTTTCACCATCAGGAACGTTTTGCTTGGCAACCTTTAACTCCTTGGCTTTCTGTCGCTTTTCACGACGTTTACGGTTGATGCTTTCTTTGTTCTCTTGATAATATTTTGAACGCTCTTCGCGCACTTTCTCTTCCTTTCTCTTTTTGCCCTCCCTTAGTCTTATAGTTTCACTGCTGCTAGTTTTTCCCATCTTGCCTTCACTGTAAGCTTCACAACAACTTAGTCACGCAACGGAAATAACATTCCTAATTTTGCGTCGTGTATTGTTTTGTACCGTGCTAAAGCGTGCATAAAAGGCACGAACGGAAACTATTTAGGCACGGTACGCCGTGCCTATAAAATCTTTAACTGACGCAGTGCAGGCATGGAAGAAAATTTTTTTTCTGACACGAGCCATATCCATAGGAACTATAATATTTTGTGTCTGAAGAAGTCTAAATACAATTTAATACACAGAAAGGGTTTAAAATGCATCATGTAGAAATTATTGTATTGCAACTTTAATGTTTCTACAAGATATTATAGAATATATTTATAACCGTGCGTAACCGTGCCTAAATTCTGGCAATAAACTGCGCTTAATTGATTAAGTATTGGGTCTTTTATCCGAGGGTATATATACGATCATGAACTTATGAGAGGCGGAAATTGACCGTGCGTAAGGAGTGCCTGAAGGCATTTTACGCACGGTCAATGGAATGTGAAACCGTGCGTAAGCATGCCAAGAAACGGCCTAACCGTGCGTAAACAAGATGGGGTAGCAAATCTTCGAGTTAAGCCCTTCGAGTTAAGCCCCAACCACGCCTTTATAGCCTGCGTAGCAGGCGCTTTTCCCACTTTCGCCCTCCCCCCTAAATAGCGCCTGCTACGCAGGCTACGCCTTTACATAACTGGAGTTAAGACCTCTAGAAAATAGGGGCTTAACTCGAACAAAGTCAAACTTTTTGTTCTTCGAGTTAAGCCCCAACGTTTGAAAGATGTAAACGAGTTACGGTTAATCTGATCTCAAGCAAATTAAATTATCATTTGGATCGCGTTTCGTTCAATCATGGTTCAAAACGTTTTATTTCAGTCGACGAATAATATATATTAGGGAATTTGAGATTGACGTTTACGGCAAACCTCTAACCATACAAACAGCAAACTTCAAATCGTAATTTGATAATTTTGTTAGCTGTTCAACTGTTAGCTGTTCGAAGTTAGAGAAGGTCAAAATAACCGGCGAGGTAAAAAGCGACTGGTCAACAGGCATTTTTGGCCGGTCATTGTCCGTTGATCGGCCGTTATTTTGAGCCCTGGTTACAACTGATAGTGTAATTTAAAAAAAAACACACAACAAACTTATGTGGCTCTAGAGCACCGTTCCTTTGGCTTTGTTGCCAATTTTTAGAGATCCTCTTTAAGTATATCTTTTGTGCAAAACTGTTGAACTGTTCATACCAATTTCTAAGTTGTCAAGTTATAAGCATTAACATAAACTTGAAATGACTGTATTTTGTAAGCAAAACAAAGCGTCATAATTTTGATATTCAAAGTAGTTGGGAAAAGAGCTAAACCCTGCCCGGGATGATATGCATGACCTTTGGTATCCTGGATTAATATAACTGTTTATTACAGTATATTGTTGGCAGACAAGGATTTGAGTTTATAATTTGTAAGTAAACACCTTTAATAGTATGCAAACTTTTTAGAAATGACGGTCATATATCTCAACCCTACCTATTGAATTACATTGAATCATTGTATTTGAAACTATATACATATACGAGAATATTAGCAGGAAACCGGTTGCTATATACCGGTTGATATATACCGGTTGTTACTATATACGAGAATATTAGCAGGAAACCGGTTGCACTACAAGATCATTAAAATTAAAATAAAGTTTTACATGACAGAGAACGGTGCTGGGGAATTGGAGCTGTAAGTAAAGTTTTCCAGTCAATTCCCCATAAGAACTATAAACTAATACTACATAAGGTCAATCATATTGAATATGTTCATTTCGTTTTAACATGATGTTCTCTTGCAAAGAGCACGACTGTAACAACTATAAACATAACGTCATAAATAATGAGAATGTTCGCCAACCCTCTGGGTATTTGAGACGTCATCGCGAGCAGGAAGAAGACTGGAATATTCCATATCACACGGTAAAAAATGGACGCAATTGGAAAGGAATCATTTCGAGCGCCCGAGGCATGGATTTGTAGGAAAGCCTGAGCTGTCATTGTGACGAAATAGGATCGCAACAGTCCCTCTGCATGACTTCCTTGGATAGTACTTGGAACAACACCGCTGGACATTAAGATTGATGTCGCAGTAAAACTCATGAAAAACTGAGCAAAGCCGAGAGCCTGGAAAATCATGTAGGGTGGTGGTTTTGCGGAAAAGGGATTTACTGTTGACCAGATTTCTTGGAGAAATTTCATGAAGGATGCATCTTTATTTTCTCGTGACCAGATGATATAGGTTAGAATTGCAAGTGTGCTGTCAAGTATACTAAACAGTAGACTGAAACGTGCGTTAATTATTCCTTGGGTATAAAATGCTATTAGAATCGCATTGATTATCAACAGTCGACCAACAACAGTTCCAAGCAAAGGTCCGTGGTTTGGTATTTGACTGGATTTATTTCTGGATAAAACGACGTAACATAATCCAATATCAACCAAACCAGCTCCAACAAGAATGAAATATCCTCTGCCACCAGCGGTGAGATCCAGAAGTACAGCCATATTCCAAAGACCAGGGGCCAAGGTCATGCTCAGGCCTCCCATAATGTACGCCATTGTAGCGGATACAAATGTAAAGCGTTGAGTATTGGTCAGCGGTCGTTCAAGTGGTATGGACAACATCTTCTTTATAAGGTCCATTGCGATCAATTGTTGCAGATCTAGAAGGAAAATACAACATGTGGTTAGTGGTTAGTCCTGTCAGTCCTGTGCCTTTCAGCTTTGTGTCTCGTGCTAAATTGTTGAAATATGCAAGCAGTCCTGTGATTATTATAATTTTACTATGTGTTATAATCTATCGCATTAGTGGCATAGGAACAGGCGGAACATAGAGGACACGTGTCCCCCAAGTTTTCTTCAGTGTGCTCTTTTCCCAAGCCAATGAGAAAAGTGCTCTTTTCTAATCCTACCACTCCACCTCTTGAAGTTGCTTCCTACGCCTATGAGTCGCATGTGAGGAGAGCCGAACACCACAGCGTTTCTCAGAGATTTCCAGTGATTTGAAAACTGGATAATTCATCCGCTATGTATAAAGGAAGCTAATGGCGGCACAGTAGATTTGTGATGATAACACCAACATGTGTTGGTGACATGTTAAATGGGGTTCTAATAGTTTCTGTTTATCAATGGGAAAGGACTATAAACATCAACAGTGGCCTTTCTTTTCTCTTAAATTTGCCCGTGAATAACTAATGAGGTCACATATAAGATGGATGCCACAAGTCTCGTTGTCTCCTGTTCTCATCTCATAAATATTCTGGTGGGAACGAGTGAATGTTCAGGTGAGGGTACATCTATTCATATCATTCATATATCTATTCTCATGCATCAGACAAAGAAAATGGCAATAAAATCGTCTCAAAATTTGCAATTGTAAACTTAACGGGCCTTATGATTATGTACATGGAAGAAATATGAAATTTATTTCCGATGTGCGAGGACAATATTGAAAAAAGGTATAAGAGACTTTAATCGATTCGTTTTGTAAAAATGAGAACACCCGGCCTTTTCGAATCTCTCGAATCGAAGATCTGAATTCTTCATATTGTAGCACTTTGGTGGAAACTGCAACGAGTGAAGACAATTCTCATACATCCACAGTCGTAGAGTACTTTCCACGACGGCGAAATTCTTCACGAAAAATTCTGGTCGCACGGATGCACGTGGGGGAATCTTATAAAATATCCCATGCACAATTTTGTTGTCTCTGGCGACACGAAGTTTTAAGGCGAAGCTTAATGTATCCTTACCGCTTTCTCGCATTTCTTCAAGAAAAGGGCTTGTGGAATCAGGCTTCAAGAATATGATAATGATTGCTGTTAGTGTTAATATCGTTGGTTACTTGCACCAGGAGAAATTGTCATATATTAAAATCCACAGGAGGTCGTTTTAGCTTTCAATCTCAATTAATATTACGCAACATAGGAGCAATAAAATCTAGCGCATGTTAATACACCCTTCCGGAAAGTATTCAGAGGCCTTGGCTATAGAGCCTGGTTTTCGTGATTTGAGATATGGAGACTCGTAAGCGTAAGGTTTAGTAAAGTTTTAGGCCCTGTAAAGGCCACAATTTAGTGTATAAAGTTACGTGACTGCACTTCGTTTTCACTCAATGGACTTTGACCATTGACCACTGTAAGTTCTGTATTATTATAAAGTTTTGGTTTCTTAGTTTAATACTGTGTATATATATAATGTGGTAAATACGCCTAGCAATATCAGACTTAATATGAAATCCGATAGCAAATAAAATTCAGCGCATGTTAATACACCCTTCCGCAACAGACTCGTGCGGTGACATGAGTCTGTCACAGGGTCTTAGCTAGAAGACCGTGTTGGCCGAGTTATCGCGGCCAACAATGTAAAAACACGGCTAGATGAAATGAACGCGGCTTCAGTATTTATTTTTGGCCGTGCATGTACGTTCATAAAATAAGGTGTTGCTACTTACAACATACATCATTTCTTTGTAAAATCTACTGTAGTTGTTGAAATTGGTAAAAGTGATCCGTGATGTTTTAATGTTTTGATGGATAATGGGAACCGTATGGTTGTTAAAATGGCTTTAAATGTCCCAAAAGTTGCTAAAATAAGTTATTATAATGTCAGTGCGAAATATGAGCGTATGCTCGCCTTGTATTTGGTTAAAAAGCATATAGAACAACCACAGGTATAGTCTATTGTTGACAAGCATAACTGGAATCATGTTTTTGGCTATTCAAGGCAATTGACAGGGGCACACCCTGGAAATTTAGAAACACGCCCAAGATATAAAATCCTAGCTAAGACCCTGCCGCAGGTCATGCCTGCGTACGTATTAAGAATGCTTTGTCGTTTGTATTTATGCGCGTACTAAAGCAGCGCGTAATTCAACAGATTACACTTGGTCTTGGAAATATTATATATTCTTGCTTTATATGCTTTAGTGTCTTTAGTGAATATTATCATTCAATGAGATGCACATTCATGTTTAATATATCTGTCACCTGTGGTTGTCCTTTTAACTCTTGGTCTTGGCAACAAATGCATTGCTTTTTCTAGTTACATGCACTCATGGCCACAGTGCTCACCAATATCTGGCTCGCTGCGAGTAATAACTGTGCTTTATATAATTTGTACTATTTAGTTCTATTTGCTCTTAATGCCTGCAGCAATCTCTACCTTGCAGATACCCTAGTTGTTAATTTTAATGTCTTGTTCTACATATTCGACTGGAGATAAAAAATAAACAATAAAAGAAGTCTCAAGTTTGTAGAGTACGTGGCAGTGGTGGCACCATGCATCGTATTACAATAGCAGTGGCCATGTTGGTGGTATTCCAAAGAAAAATCTCATATTTCATCAAAGATGGCCGCCGTTTTAATGTTATAATAATAAGTTTTAATCAGTGATATACAACCGTATAAACAACCTACGTTTCCTTTACAGTTTTAAAATCTCATGTGAAAATTGTAAATGCCATAATGACATGAGTCTGTTTGAATGTTGGATGCTGTATATTTAAGAGTGTTCTTAGCTCATGTTCCATAATGGTGCGAATGTCGACTATCTCTTGTCTAATTTATATGTAGACTTAACAAGTAAGACAAAAGCCAATGCCACGAACGTTCTACACCAAATCCCTACGTCCTGATGCTACACCGCATTAATATATAAAATAATATATAACCTTGATTCTTGAAGTCAAAATTTATTAGTTCGTATTATTTACACTTCGGCATTTTCAGCCGGCATGGTTGAGCAACGAATATGTTTCTATACACGCATGCGTTGACTCATTACTTACTGTACGTTGTCTTTTGTGCCAACCGATAAAACCAAACCCTTGATACTTGAATACGGCCAACGATGTTTTCTATAAATGTTGTATTGAGTAACTTAGGAATGACTGTAATGAGGATTAGGCCGATGGAAGGTATCAGTTTACCGTCACCCGCCCACGTGTGTTGTGAAATTTTCATTATTACCTCCGCCAGGAGGTTATGTAATCATCTGGGTTTGCATGTGTGTGTGTTTGTCTGTGAGCACGATAACTCAAGAAATACCAAACATATTCATACGAAATTTTTTGAATGCATTTCCCATCGGCTAAGGAAGAACTGATTAAAATTTGGTTGAATTTGGTTAAAAATTGAACGAGAAATGAACAAAATTTTGTCTTGCTTTTCCCGGTCAATTAAAAAAAACTCACTGAATGCGTAATTAGGACGTGTATAATGTATGCACGCAGTACTAAGACAATAATGAGATGATAAACCTCATTAAGCTTCAGCCTTATTATCTATTGTCTTAGTTGCATTTCACACGACAGGAGTTCAATGGGGGCGGAGGTATGCAGTCTCTGAGTGCCCTCTAGTTTCAATATTTTTTCATTTTTGTCAAATTTGTGTTTCAAAAATGGCTTTCTGTTGAAACTTTTGGCAAATACCGACTTTGTTTATACAGTTAGCGAAGCCACGGCGAAACGGAGTCAAAGACATAGCTGAATCTGATAGCTAGGAAGTTAGCAAAAAGCTCAAGTCAGTCAAGAATCGTCAAAGAGAATCGTTGGATTTTTTCGGTTGAAATTCAAATTTTTATCTTAAAATTTGACAAATTCAAATCGTGAAAAATAATGGGTAATGAATAATGAAAAAAATCCGCATCAACTTCTGAAATCAGTTTAGGTGACGGTATTAAAACTGATACCTTAATTCCATCGGCCTTATAAGCCAAGTCTGTACACAGGCAGCCCATCCCGGGTCTTGATGAAGTTATGTATTAGCATGATATATAAAATCTACTGGCAAGCTGCTCCAATTACTGTTCGGAGTACTCCGGATTTTCGGAACACTAATAGGGAGTTTAAGCTTCACGTTTCCGGGAACAGCAAACGCTGGTTCAAAATTTCTTGGCAAAATTTTCGTCGAACGTTTTGTTTCATTTTTTTCTTGCGTCGAAAGAATAATTATGTATTTCAGTTTTAAAACAGCAAGTTCATTTACTATTATTTGCCAGATACCGTAAAATATTTCTTTGCCTGGCGTTTGCCGTTTGACTTATAACGCGAATCTTAAACTCTCTAATGGAATGGAACTGGGCGAGAGTCATATGACCCGATTTTCGACTTTCGAGTACAAGCGTAAAACTCTCACATCTTGGTAGCAAGTCTGCCAACAAGCCGTCAACAATTGTGTTCGCACTGCTTGTCCCAAGTTGTCAAAAAGTTTGGAACAAGCTGTTAACAACTTGTAACAACCTTGTTGATATGATCAGACTTGTTGCAAGGTTGTTCTAACAAGTCCGACACAGTCATGATATAACAATATTTTTACAACCTTGTGTCGTCAATCTTGTAACATTCTTGTTATATTATGACTGTATCAGACTTGTTAGAACAACCTTGTAACAAGTCTGATAACGCCATCAAGCTTGTTACAAGTTGTTAACAGCTTGTTCCAATCTTGTAACAACAACTGGGAACAAGCAGTGCGAACACAACTTGTCGACAGCTTGTGAACAGATTTGTAACAACTTGTTTGCAGATCTGTAACAACTTGTGACAAACTCGTGTTACAAGAACAGCAAGAAAACCGAGGATAAGTCGTGGGAAATTAAATCGGAATCTGCTTCTAGTAGTTATTGGACAAGAAATGACGCTTTTTTACAGCAACACGAACGAATTTGTAAATCTAGAAAAGGTACATCTAAACAAAGCAACAAAGTGGATTTTCGTATATATTCCAAGTGGAAAGACCTGGAATGGGTCAACTATTATTATTATGTGATCTCCCCCCTAAAAGACATAATCCCTTCAATTGCATTTCTATTGCTACGATTAACAGCCCTATCAATTATTCCTCAACCTTTATAATAACCCCAAATTCTGACATAGATAATTTCTCGAGGAAGATTACTCCTAACACAAACACTGTGACCATGACCAAACATATTAAACAAAATCCTAATTCCTATATCCCAGCTATTCTATCAGCAAATGTGAGAGCAGTAGTAACTAAAGTAGACGAGATCCAGCAAATTGCGGAACTTAACTCTGTTGGCATAACTGAAACCTGGCTGTCTGCAAACATCCCAGACTCCAATGTATATTTATCTCAGGTTATAACCTTTTCCGCCAAGACCGTGCTCATACTACTGGTGGTGGGGTTTGTGCCTATTAGATACAAGATACCATGCAAATTATTAAATGGCTGCGTAGAAGATGACGTTAAATCAATATGGCTGTCAATGAGACCGTATAGACTACCGAGGCAGATAACATCAATCATATTGGGTGTCATATGGCAAATAATAATACAAAAGAAAAATAAATTTAGAAATGTATATGCTTGCTTCTCTATGAAATGTATCAGCTAATCAGCTGTTGTCATTGCGCTAATAATACATAAGGTCAATCATATTGAATATGTTCATTTCATTTTAACACGATGTTCTCTTGCAAAGAGCACGACAGTAACAACTATAAACATAACGTCATAAATAATGAGAATGTTGGCCAATCCTCTGGGTATTTGAGACGTCATCGCCAGCAGGAAGAAAACTGGAATGTTCCATATCACACGGTAAAACACGGAGGCAATTGGAAAGGAATCATTTCGAGCGCCCGAGGCAAGAATTTGTAAGACAGCATGAACTGCCATTGTTACGAAATAGGATCGCAACAGTCCCTCTGTATGACTTCCTTGGATAGTACTTGGAACAACACCGCTGGACATTAAGATTGATGTCGCAGTAAAACTCATGAAAAACTGAGCAAAGCCGAGAGCCTGGAAAATCATGTAGGGTGGTGGTTTTGCGGAAAAGGGATTTACTGTTGACCAGATTTCTTGGAGAAATTTCATAAAGGATGCATCTTTATTTTCTCGTGACCAGATGATATAGGTTTGAATTGAAAGTGTGCTGTCAAGTATACTAAACATTAGACCAAAACGTGCGTTAATTATTCCTTGGGTATAAAATGTTATTAGAATCGCATTGATAATCAACAGTCGACTAACAACAGTTCCAAGCAAAGGTCCGTGGTTTGGTATTTGACTGGATTTATTTCTGGATAAAACCACGTAACATAAGCCAATATCAACCAAACCAGCTCCAGCAAGAATGAAATATCCTCTGCCACCAGCAGCGACATCCAGAAGTACAGCCATATTCCAAAGACCAGGGGTAAAGGTCATACCCAGTCCTGCTATAATGTACGCTATTGTAGCGGATACAAATGTGAAGCGTTGAGTATTGGTCAGCGGTCGTTCAAGTGGTATGGACAACATCTTCTTTATAAGGTCCATTGCGATCAGTTGTTGCAGATCTAGAAGGAAAATACAACACGTGGTTAGCCCTGTGCCTTTCAGCTTTGTGTCTCGTGCTAAATTGTTGAAATATGCATGCAGTCCTGCGATTATAATTTCACCTCAATCGCATAGGAACAATGGGAACATAGAGGACACGTGTCCCCCAAGTTTTCTTCAGTGTGCTCTTTTCCCAAGCCAATGAGAAAAGTGCTCTTTTCTAATCGTACCCCTCCAACTGTCGAAGTTGCTTCCTACGCCTATGAGTCGCATTTGAGGAGAGCCAAACACCACAGCGTTTCTCAGAGATTTCCACTGATTTGAAAACTGGACAGTTCATCCGCTATGTATGAAGGAAGCTAATGGCGGCACAGTAGATTTGTGATGATTACACCAACATGTGTTGGTGACATGTTAAATGAGGTTCTAATAGTTTCTGTTTATCAATGGGAAAGGACTATAAACATCAACAGTGGCCTTTCTTTTCTCTTAAATTTGCCCATGAATAACTAATGAGGTCACACATAAGATGGATGCCACAAGTCTCGTTGTCTCCTGTTTGAAACGTTCTAAAACGTATTAGAAGAGATGTGGAAGCTATATTTTTCCAGTTACATTGTGAAAAACATTGACTTATGCTTGAACACGTCGCGATCCGATTTGCAGAGATTTTGACAATCTCATCTCATAAATATTTTGCTTAAAAATCGGCTGATTAAATTCAGATCAGTGTGGATTTCCGATCTCCTCCTGAAGGTCCATTTGCAATTTTTCCTGCCATTTTCGATACGGTTTTCTTCTTCTGATGGGAACGAGTGAAAGATTTATGAATGTTTAGGTGAGGGTACATCTATTCAAATTCATATCTATTCGTTCACATACATCGGACAAAGAAAATCGCAATAGAAATCGTATCAAGAATTGCAATTGTATACTTAACGGGCCTTATGATGGTGTACGTGTATTTTGGAAGAAGTATGAAATTTATTTACGATGTGCTAGGACAATATTGAAAAAGGTATACAAGAAACTTTAATTGATTCGTTTTGTAAAAATGAGAACACCCGGCCTTTTCGAAGCTCTTTACTCTGAATCTGAATGCTTGATACTGTAACACGTTGGTTGTCACTGGCGACACGAAGTTTTAAGGCGAAGCTTAATGTATGCTTACCGCGCTTTCGTTCATTCATTTCGCTGCGAAATTCTCGCATTTCTTCAAGAAAAGGGCTTGTGGAATCAATTTCCAGCAGAAATAAAAATTAGAAAATTTAAAAGAAATACAGAATTTCTTTTAAATTTTCTAATTTTTATTTCTTTGAGTTTTGTCCCATGAGTACAAGACCTTGTGTTCTTACCCAACATTAATTCAAAGCAATTAGAGCTGTCAAATTACAATACGTTATAGCTAATTTGAATTTGAAAGGGTTCAGTTGTTTTTTATACATATGCACTGTAGAGCAAACTAATGAGTCATATAGACCACTGTCGAGACAGTTTATGGGATATAGACCACCGAAACACTGAGTTTTGATTGGTTGAGTGTATGTGATCATGGTCCAATTGCTCGTAATGCCTGCAGCAATCCCTACCTTGCAGATACCCTAGTTGTTAATTTTAATTTCGTGTTCTTCATATTCGGCTGGAGATCAAAATAAACAATAAAAGAAGTCTCAAGTTTGTATAGTACGTGGCACCATGCAATTCCAACGAAAAAATCTCATGTTTCATCAAAGATGGCCGCCGTTTTAATGTTAATAATAAGTATAAATCAGTGATATACAACTGTATAAACAACCTACGTTTCCTTTACAGTTTTAAAATCTCATGTGAAAATTGTAAATCATTAAATGCCACATAATAACATGAGTCTGTTTGAATGTTGCATGTTGTATATTTAAGAGTGTTCTTAGCTTCTATAATGGTGCGAATGTCGATTATCTCTTGTCTAATTTATCTCTAGGCTTAACAAGTAAGACAAAAGGCAATGCTAAAAATAATTAATATATAACCTTGATTCTTGAAGTCAAAATTTATTAGTTAGTACTATTTACACATCGGCATTTTCAGCCGGCATGGTTGAGCAACGAATATGTTTCTATACACGCACACGTTGACTCATTACTTACTGTACGTTGTCTTTTGTGCCAACCGATAAAACCAAACCTTGATACTTGTCTATACAGCGAACGTTGTTTTGTAAATGTTGTATTAATAGTTGACCTGCATCTAAGGACGTAAACGAGCTTATATTCAGTTATAAAATTTGCATGGTTAAAATCTCAAATTTGATTGGTTACATAAAGGCTATGTGCTAATAAGATGCATAATAGCGACATAAGTGTGGATTTTACGGTTGGATGGTCAGATGAAGATAATTATATAAGGGGCCGACCATTTAACGTTTGAGAGGGGGGCGGGGGGTGATTTTGAAAAATATTTCCTGCAAGGCTATTCTGAACAAAAAAAATACCTGCACTAACAAACTGGGGGGGGGGGGGG